TTTTCACAATAAGAGGCCAAACAGTTCAGACAGGACTTGACAGCTTTCAGTTTCCTGTCAGAGCAGACATCACAGGACACATCTTCAGCTCCAGCAAAGCACAGATCAGCTGCAGCAGCCTGATGGTCAGTCTTCTTCAGCTCCTCCACCAACTCTGCCAACATGGTGCTTTTCTCCAAAGCTGGCCTTGGGTTGAAAACCTTCCTGCACTGAGGACAGCTGGAGATTCCCCTCTGTTCCTCTTCATCCCAGTGGTCTTTAATACATCTCATGCAGTAGCTGTGTCCACAGGGAATAGTCACCGGATCCTTCAGGAGTTCCAAACAGACCGAACAGGAGAAGGCTTCCAAGTCCAGATTAATTTTTCTCTTATCCATTGTTAAAAAAAGACTTTTTCCTTGTTAACACAAAATCTGTTGAATAAAAAGAATAAAGACATAGTGATTTTAGCCAAAGATCATCCCTTTAAGAACCTAAAATTCGGAATGGTGAGTAAATGTAAACAAAAACTAAAAACAATGATTTTCAAAACTCACAATTCAAAAAATCAGTACAATTTTGTTAACAGTAGAGCATGGTAAAAGTATCTAATGTTTAAACCAATTGAACTAAGCTTTCAAACACTTCATTGTTTTTAACTCTTAGCATTTACAAAGTGGCACAGCTAACCTGGTTCAAGATGGCCTCCACATCTAACATGGTTAAAGATGGTCTCCACAGCTAACATGGTTAAAGATGGTCTCCACAGCGAACCTGGTTCTAGATGGCCTCCACAGCTAACCTGGTTCAAGATGGCTGCCAAAGCTAACCTGGTTAAAGATGGCCACCACAGTTAACCTGGCTCAAGATGGCTGCCAGAGCTAACCTGGTTAAAGATGGTCTCCACAGCAAACCTGGTTCACCCGGAGTGGCTGGTCTTGTTTGAAAGCTCTGGTTCCGCCCTACTAGGTGAAAGTTGAGTGATGTCCCTGCGACATTCCCCTGCGGAGCAATAAGCAAAAAACCTCCATAATACGCACCATCAGACCTCCCGCTGGGGTGGTTTTACCCCACCCACCCCACCCCACCCCAGGCTAGGAACGTCGGATCCCTGACTGAAGGTTGGGTTTTAAAGCCCTCGCTCACCCTACAAGGAAAAAGTTGATTGGTTGTCCCTGCGACATTCCCCCGCAGAGATATAAGCAAAAAACCTCCAAAATTACGCACCGTCGGACCTCTGCCGGGGGTGGTTTTAGTCCACCTTCCCGGGCTAGGAGGATCGGATCCGGTGTGGCTGGTCAAGTTTTAAAGCTCTGGTTCTGCCCTACATTAAATTAAATAAAACTAGCAACACATTATGTTCTGTTTTATTTACTTTAAAGAAGTGAGGAGTAGGGAGACAAAATTATGTCTTTTTGATACTGAGACTGGACGAGTAGCTCTCGGCAAACTGCCGACTTCAAAAGTAGCTCTTGGTTCAAAAAAGGTTGGGCACCCCTGCTCTAGATGGTCTCCACAGCTAACCTGGTTCAAGATGGCCTCCACAACTAACCTGGTTCAAGATGGCCTCCACAGCTAACCTGGTTCAAGATGGTCTCAACAGCTAACCTGGTTCAAGATAGCTGCCACAGCTAACCTGGTTCAAGATAGCTGCCACAGCTAACCTGGTTCAAGATGGCTGCTACAGCTACCCTGGTTCAAGATGGCTGCTACAGCTACCCTGGTTCAAGTTGGCTGCTACAGCTACCCTGGTTAAAGATGGCTGCCACAGCTAACCTGATTCAAGATGGTCTCAACAGCTAACCTGGTTCAAGATGGCTGCCACAGCTAACCTGGTTCAAGATGGCCACCACAGCTAACCTGGTTCAAGATGGCCTTCACAGCTAACCTGGTTAAAGATGTTCTCCATAGTTAACCTGGTTAAAGATGTTCTCCATAGTTAACCTGGTTAAAGATGTTCTCCATAGTTAACCTGGTTCAAGAGGGCCTCCACAGCTGACCTGGTTCAAGATGACTGCCAAAGCAAACCTGGTAAAAGATGGTCTCCACAGTTAAACTGGTTCAAGATGGCCTCCACAACTAACCTTGTTCAAGATAGCTGCCACAGCTAACCTGGTTCAAGATAGCTGCCACAGCTAACCTGGTTCAAGATGGCCTTCACAGCTAACCTGGTTAAAGATGTTCTCCATAGTTAACCTGGTTAAAGATGTTCTCCATAGTTAACCTGGTTAAAGATGTTCTCCATAGTTAACCTGGTTCAAGAGGGCCTCCACAGCTGACCTGGTTCAAGATGGCTGCCAAAGCAAACCTGGTAAAAGATGGTCTCCACAGCTAACCTGGTTCAAGATGGCTACCACAGCTAACCTGGTTCAAGAAGGTTGCCAGAGCTAACCTGGTTAAAGATGGTCTACACAGCTAACCTAGTTCTAGATGGCCTCCACAGCTAACCTGGTTCAAGAAGGTTGCCAGAGCTAACCTGGTTAAAGA